CAGGCAGGAATTTTATTATTTTCGTAAAGAAACCAGGAATATAGCAGTGGTGATTAAGCCTCCGGCCCATACAAGGACTAGTGACTAGTAGCTATGGCAGGTTAAGTGTTCATGGTAATGACCACCATGACCGCAGTCACACTTTTGCATGTTGTCACTAACATAGCGGTAAGACTGTAGTATTGTTTGCATCAGCAATGCCAATAGTAAGCCCTACCATCCAAAGCCAAAGCCCGAAGCCTTAAATCTTGACAAGCATACCACGTACCTCAGCCCTGAAACCTAAACCTTATAACACCCATATCACACAGTAACCCCAAAGTAATTACAACCCACAGGTCTTAATCGATGCTGAAGCTGAGACACCGTTTTTGTGACTTTTGGCTCGGGCTTTCGCGGTTCGGCGGGCCGATGTTAGGTGCCTAGTGGCCCTGTCAGTGCCCCGCTCCTTGGCAGCTGCGAGGTTTAGAGTTTAGGGCTTTAGGGATTCTATGGTTTAGATTTGATGGCTTTGGCTTCCAAGTCAAAGTTTTAGAATCGCTTCCGGGTGTCGATGAAGGACTGGTGGGGTTCACGACAGATGCATATCCACTTTGCATGAAAGCAGTCCTCTGATTCCAGCGCTTCCTTTGCCTCAAATTCGACGGTTTAGGGTTTGCCTAAACTCCCCAGCCCCCATAAAGGGCTCTTCTTCTACAAGCCGGGGTCCAGGTAGGGCTTAGCGTATCCCAGAAGCTTTGGGCTCTTCTGCCTTGCGCCCGCAAAGCCCTCCAGCCCTGAGGGTCCATGTACCCAAGTAGTATACACTTTGGCCCCAAAGTACCTATACAGGGAGTACTTTAAGGACAAAGTATATACTATTGAGGTACATGGACCCTTGGGGTAGGGGGTCGAATAATTAGAAATCAGGGCACCCTGAGAGTCCGTATGCAAATGCATTTAAGCCCCCTAAACCCCTAAAGCCCTAAAGCCTTATATACCCCTACTCCCTAAACCCTTAACCCTAAACCCATACCATAATCATAATCCCGTATATGACTTTTGTCGCTCCTGACTCGCGCCCAGAAACCCAGCCGAGGCGAAACAGCCTCCGGGTTGGAAGTGGGCCCTAGAAATTTTGTGGTTTAGGGTTAGGGGTTTAGGCTTGGGGATTCACGGTTTAGGGTTTCTTTGGGATTTAGGGTTTCGGGTTACGGCCTCCACTTGGAAGTTCGGCATCACTCATGACGGGTTTACGAAGTCACTAAGTCCCCTTAGCCGTTTCGTTCAACACCTCCATCGCCGGACACGTTGCTTGCCCACACCTCGGGTCAGATTTTTCAATGAGTCGTTTAGCGCTCGGGGTTTAGGGAATCGCAATCCGTGAAGTACAGCCGCCCTGGTATCCAAGGCTTTCCACTCGCACCGTGCTGTTCGCAGCCCTGTTCAAGGACACCTGAGCCCCATGGGCCCGGTAAGTTTACTCTTAAGGGCCCACAGCAGCTATTGATGGTTTAGGGTTTAGGGTCTATTAACTAGTTAGTACTTGAGTGTAGGATAGTAATTAAATAGCAATGTAGGCAAGTGTTTGGGGGAGTATTACAGGAGTATCAGGTAGTTCGACCTTGAGGGTGCTAGTTCGCTGACTAGCTCAAGGTTTAGGGTTTAGGGTTTGCGGCTTCGCGTTTGGGACTGAAAAAGGTTAAGGGCCTGTAAACAATGGCCAGCTTTTGTGCAGGACCTATCGGTAACTTTCCCTTCGCTCGGTTCAGGGCTGAGAAAGACTGTCACACGGCACACTCGGAAGCACAAGACCGGCAGGATGATAAGTTGACCCTCAATTCCAGGCCTAACCGTCCTAGGTTTTAGGTTTTAGGGTTTAGTTTGGGAACAAAGGTCTGCGCACAGTGAAGGGCGTCAGGCTTCGTGCTGCTTCGATCTCCCCGCTTTCTATGTCGTTGTTGGTGGCGTGGCTTTCGGCTTGAATAGGGGCCTGACTTCTTCTCCAAATCAGCCTCACGTGTCAGACGAGTCCTACCGTCTTCCGCACTTCACCCTTATTAGCATCCCCGCAACCCAAATCCTGCAACATGTCCAGGAAGTAGAGCACATTATCCGCCTCACGGCGGCATTCGAGACGTGCGCGGATTTGGGTGTTGCAGGGTATACCATTAAGATTCAATCAGAACCCCTAGGTCTAGGTGAGGAGTTAGGTCCTTTGGACCCTTAGGGTATCGTGTGGTGAGGTTGGCAGGCATGTTGTGGATTCTGTGTTCCGTTTTACATGACAAAGGGCGAGGTTGAACTCATGCATAGACCAGGGTTCGATGACCAGGCTTCTGTAGCGATTCTTCCATATGGGGTTCGGTAATCAAGGTTCCACAATAGAATGTTCTCTGTTTAGTTTGTAAGAGTTCTACAAGGTTTCTGCTATAAGAAGCTCTGCTATACGGTATCTAAATTCTAAACCCTAAACCCTAAACCGTATCTGCTTGAGCGTTGAAGGTTGGATGCTTGGCTGTCTTGGCTGCAGGCATTCCCAGCGCGTAATGGTCTCGTCCTGCCAGAAGTCCTGTCTGCCCTGCGAATACTGAAAACCCAAAGCCCTAGACCCTAAGCCTAAACCCGGAACCTTTATAACCTTATAAGCCAACCTTAAACCCCACACCCAAAGCTTAGGCCCGGGACCTTACATAAACCCTAAGCGCCCAGATCCTCAGTTCTGACAGACGTGCAGCTTAGGTGAAGGTGCCACAAGAGTATTCTCGGGGTTCTTCGGCATCTACTGCGGGGTATAGGGTTCAGGTTTAGGGGTACTGTTGTGTCTATGCACTACGCCAGCATCTCGCGCTGAGGTCATGATGAAGCTTGCAACTTTGGTGTTGTCCACCCCGCTCTTGGCCGCTGGACTGGCAAGAGCTCTTCTTTTCATTTCGATGTGATGTCTCGGCGTGACTTCCGACAGTTCCCCCTGTTCAGAATCTGTCCCTGAACTTTCCGGAGCCACCCCTAAACCCCTAAACCCTAAACCCCTAAGCCCCTAAGCCCCTAAACCCCTAAACCCCAAACCCCTAACTAAACCCAAGCTCCTGTCCTCAACACAAGGTCTACACCAGTAGCCGAAGTCCGGGGACCATGAGCTCAACGAAGCCAATCCCAACCAGTTTTATGGTTAGGATCTGTTACTATAGGGTATGATAGTTGTCACTTCAATGTCCAGCAGAGGGGGTGGGGTTCTTGAACCTCCAAAGCTACAGTAGTATCCTGATGCTAAGGATCCGGAAACCTCCAGACAAAGATTTCTTTAAGTCTCTTCTCCTAAATCGCTTCAGAACTTTGGGAATGGCTGTGGTACTTGTGAGGTCCAGACGGAGTCAGGACGCAAACTGAAGCCCCAAACCCAAAACCCTAAACCCCTAAACCCCTAAGACCCCTAAACCCCTATTAAACCGAAATCCCAGACCCGTAAGAGCCCGAAACTTGAAACCCTACGCCTGAAGCCAAAAATTCAACTCTAGGCCACTGGGACATGCGCTTCCGGACGATTGAGAGCCTGAGGTTGTGGTGTTTCGCAACTGTCAGCTGCACGCCACTGTAAGCTTTCAAAACCTCATGAAAGCTGAGAGCAAGCATAACACTCTCAGGCACGAAGATCCGAACCTTAAGCCCAAACTGCGATAGTCACTTGTTATAGCATGTCTTGAAAGTCAGCCAAGGCCAATGCAGCAAAGGCGCGGCAAGCCCCCGGGGGGGGGGGTGATCCAGGGAGTTTGACCGTGGGGTTTACAGTGGCACCTCAGGGTTTTTGGATGAAGAGCTTTGGGACTGAGAGCTTAGGCTTTGGGATTCTGACTTGGGATTTTCTTGTGATAAGAAAACCGGTTGCATGGAGAAGCAGTTCAGTTTTGTCCCATTGTGATTGTGATTTTTTTTTTTCTAGCTGGAATGCTGTTCGCAGGATGCAGGTATCTTCACTTGTCTTATCATATCTTATCTCATCTTGTCTTATCTTATCTCATCTGAGATGGTACAAAATTATTTTGTAAGAACTTCTATGTATTTTCCTGAGGGATCCGAGCGAAAGCTCCTCTTAAGAGTGACATGCAGAAGTTTTGATCGGGTTTAGGGTTTAGGGGTTAATCCGTTTAAACCCTGAACCCTATAGGGGCAACAGTTGATGACCAGGTCGTCGGCAAGCGCGGTGCTCGGCGCTTTCAGTAGTTGCTGTGGCATCTTTGGGGAACACGTGTGGGTGTTGCGAGTTTGGGCGTGCCCCAGGGTTCATAGCACTGCACCTTGACTAGAGCCCTTACGCCCTGAGCCCTTAACTCCGAAATCCTAAACCCTAAATCCTAGACGACTTCACTGTCAGGTCTGAGGAAGGGCTGTTACCCTTGTTTTTCAGATTCGCAGATCTTGGCCGTCCTGGCTGTGGGTTTAGGATTAGGGTTCAGGGTTTAAGCCCTAAGCCCTAACCTTAAACCCAAAACACCCGAAAGCCTCAAGCCCTCGACCCCTAAGTCCTAAACCTCCAAGCCCCGAACCGTAAACCCTCAAGCCAAACGTATTGGAGTTTGTATTTTGAGCGGCTAGGTTTTCGCGGTTGTTGCCATGATGGCCCAACTCGATCGTGTGAGTCGCAAAGAGAGCGACCTACAGAAATTCTGCGCGGTTCGTGAACGGCTGCATCAAAATCCCCATGGCCAGGTCCTGAAGCAGAATGAAGGAGAGAATCTGCCTGTGGCTCCCTTCTGCTTCGACCAAGTTCCGAACCATCTTGGAGAAGTCACCGCCGGCGGGCGCAAGAAGGACAGAAGGACCAGTGGGCAGGGACAGCAGCAGCGCAGAAGGTTCGAGAGGATCCCAAGGCGCCGACGAGAAAGAGGGCCAAGGCCGATCCGAAAACACCGAGTTCGAGGGAACCCCAGATCAAGATCTGCGACTGCGATACTCTAGCAGTTCTCCAGCAGAAGGCAACGGCGGTCATCATCGAGACCGCGGAACCATATGTCAGTGACTTGATGGGCTTTGGCAAGTATGACGACGTATTCGGAAGTCTATATCACTTCGGCAGTCAGGGTTGCCAGTGGGCCTGCGACCACGGCAACCGAAGGCGACTGCCGCCTTCTCCGGGCGGGGGGGTGACTTTGCCGTAGGCCACACAGGGCAGCAGTGCCGGAGAGGGTGGGGCGGGGCGCCAAGGCAGGACAGCAAAAGTGAAAACCTGCTTGCGACAAATGCAAGTTCTCGAAACCCTAACCTTGTATCTTCAATCCTGGAACCCCAAACCTTCAGCCACTGCAAGCCACAACCCGTTCGAGGGCATCGATGATGGATACACAATGATAGACAGACCGCTCCTTAACGAGTGCTCAGGCAGATGTATAAAGAACGGTTGCAAACACAAACTCGTCGATGAAGAAAACAATCATACTTAGATGTATAGTTGTAGACACCATTGGTTTATACCGGTTAGCTTCTCTACCTCTGCGGGTTGAAAGTAGCTTCAGAACAGCAGCACTTGTAGCTTAGTGTAGTATACGAGTACCTATACGTACTCGGAGCCTCTGGGCTAAGTCCGGTTTTAGTACGGTTGAGGACGCAGGGTTTACAAAGAGATCGGCGAAGGGAGAGACGGGAGGAGAGAGCAGCGCGATCCAGGCGGTGTTTGCTGACCCGGCTTGTGCTACTCCGGACTTTCTGAGCGCCCGCGCAGCAGCTAATCAAGTACTATTCTTAGGGATCCTTCTTAATTATCATCGGAGGATACCATACCATGAAACCCTATTGTTGGTATTAAGGCCCCGACACGACCGAATGATCATCCACTCACCCAAGTGCGAAGTTGCAATACCACGATGATTCAATCCCTGCACATTCCCGGGCCCTTTGGACCGTTAGTGCACTTTTCAGAAACTCCGCAGGCCCCAAGTGTGGAAGGTTGAAGATCGTTTTTTTCGGATTTTTTAATGTTAAGGGTTCGAGTTATTCTATGTGTGACGGGTCTACATGGGTTCCATCAGGATCCCCCACAGATCTGTACATTCAGTCTGAGACCTCTTGACGACTGAGGACGATGTTCGAGACCTCGGAGGACAATCCGTGCCCCAACGGACTTGAAAACCGCTACCCGCGGCTGGGCTAATTTGGGCTTCGAGGGTTCAGTGTGTAGGGTTTAGGCAGCTTTTGGTTGGATGCTCCAGAGCGAGGATTTGCTGGTTGCATGCGGGATATTTCTGGTGTGGGCTTCCGGCGTCTGTGAGGCCGGAATGAGAGGAATGCGTCCACACCCTAGGGGCTGAGTAGGTAACCTGTACCATTTTCGGGGCTTATATAACCCTACCCTAATTGACAAGGTTATCCTTTGAACTTTTGGGGATGGGGTACTCAAAAATGGCCTTAAACTCCTAAACCCTATAAACCCTAAACCTCCTTGGTTTGGCACGAACTTGAGGCCGACTGAGGCTTCAAAACTCCCGAAGCCCGAAACCCTAAACCCCAGGGATGACATCGAAAGTTGGGATTCCAATCTAGCCGTCTGAACAATCGCCGGAACCCTGGAAAGGAAGATTGTTCTAGTCCTTAAGGCCCCTTATATCAAAGCCTAAACCCTAAACCCTTTAGAGGAACCATATTCTAGTTTTTCGAATAGGATCCCTAAATTATATCTATGGCGGCCCTAAACCCTGAACCCCAAACCCCTCTATCGGATCTATGGCGACTTGGGGCTTAAGAGTTAGAGGGTTTAAGGGCTTAAACGCTTAGGGTTGAGGGACTTAAGGTTTAGGTGTTTCCCTTCCCATAACAAGCACTTTTTAAGCGCATGCCCAGGATGACCGGATTTGTCCCTTTACGAACAGTCCTGAGGGTTTAGGGTACGTACCAGAACCGATGTCCCTTGGGTTGGAGGAGCCTTTTCCATGGTTTGTTTTCTTTTTCTTGGCCCAGAGGGTTGAGGATTGCAGTAGATAGCCTTGTTTCCGATAGCTAGGCACAGTTGAGGCTCTCTCACAGCCCCGGTGTCGTGGGATCTTCACAAATGCGCACCCTAAACCCTAAACCCTTAATACAGCCACGAACCCGCAAAACTTTCAAGAGGGTACATCCGTTCGGCCTACACCTGAAGACTCGTGGCCGGTCTTTAACGCCCTAAACCCCGAAGCCCTCCGGCCGGTTTGCGGTTTGGGGTTTAGGGCCCAGGGTCCTGTTTTTGGTTCAGAACTCCCGGACCGTATTATACATCGTAACACCCTGATTAAGGGGGGGTATGATGAGCCAGAGGTTCGGCATTAATTCAACTTACAGCCCTAACCCTCAACCCTTTACGTTAATCCCTCAACTCTTAGCTACCCTAATTAAGCTCTAAGTGAACCTCAGAAAACCAACCGCTTCAGGAAGTCTCTCGAGAAGAAATACGTCATCGCGAAGGCCCGCCGCGGGGTTCACAGCACTTTGGGCTTAAGGGCTGCTGCGTCCGCAAAGATCTGCGAGCGTCACAGATATACAACCCGGGGTTTAAAGTGGCTCCGGCTTCAACTCGTAAGCTCGAACTTTTGAACCGCAAGCACCTGCAACCCCACCACACCAGCATGCTCGGGCCTCCATCTCGAGCAGCGAGCGCAATGCCCACACCGAAAACAAAGAAGGGTTTCACGCCAGCAGACCCTAACATATCTCCAGCACTCAACCATGTCAAGCTGTCTGCCGACGAGCCCAGCAAGGTAGCCGTTGACGAGCTGCATAGTTATGCGGTACAGTTTGGGCGTAAATCCAGTGCGCCCCGCCCATGTAGGCATGAAAGAGAACGATTTGGTTGGGATTCTGAGACACTGCTCGTGGAACGCTGCAGTCTACATAAACCCTAAACTCAACACCCTAAACCCTATACCCTCAACCCGATACCCTAATCCCAACACCCTAGGCCCTAAGCCCTATAAACGCCCTGAAGCTTAGCAAGTGCCACGATCCGGTTGCGGGCACGAGCACAGTTGGATTTACGGCGTGTAGGCTTTCAGGGAATGGCGAAGAGGGATTCGGGGTTTAGGGTCACTGCTTCTGTGTTTAGGGTTCCAGGCAGCTCCAGGCTTTCGGGTTCAGGGTTTAGGGTTTACTTTAACTCTGGGGTTGAATAGCTTGACGGCTAAGGCTTTAGGATTTTAAAGGTTAGTGTTTTCAAAGGGGTCGGAAAGGTGTGATTTCTCAGCAGCTGCAGAGCCTGCATCCCGGAAGCCAGAGTTGTCCAACATCGTGCGATTCGCAGAACCTGAACTCCTACAAGCCCTAAACTCTAACTCTAAATCCGAAATCACCGAGGATGATCTCCCTCCCCACGCCTTGATTCATGATTCATGCCTCAAACTATAGCGGGCCTTATTATCTGATTCGAGGCATTTCCCTTGGTTCAGCGGGTCCTATAAGGTCTCGCAAACCCTATGTAACATCCCGTCAGGATCACGGCCTGAACCCCCTGGATGCCATCTGGGACACCGAGAAGCTCCGCGCGGCCATGAAGGATGACAAGGCCACTCTCTGGGTCTTCGTGCGGCAGGATTTTGGAGTTTAGGGTTTATCCTTTGGGTTTAGGGATTCAGGACTTCGGATAGCTAAGGGTTTTGTGAAACCCTGCCCCCTGAGAAATTCCCTGCCAGAAGGTTATCCTTTAGTTCAGATCTCCTAGGAAGCCGATATACGAGAAGTACCAAGATTTTTCCGTGGGGCCGTTGGGCCCCTCAATGTATAATTATGCTAGGGCATACCCCCCACGCCTCACAGTGTTTGGTTCTCAAGACCCCTACATCCAGACGCTATAAACTGTTGTAGAACCCTTTGCAGCAATCCCATAAAACACTGTCCTACTATTTTGCAGCGTTACAGGCATTTATCGGCGAGTGATATAGAGGCCGTAAAGATAAAACAAACGTTTGGGGGGGTGTATAACGTATAGAGTATAATCATAATGAGGATCCCAAAAGATCGAAGATCGATTATTATGGCCACAGATTCAGTGTCGTCAGGACCCTAAGTCGCAAAACCTTTAACACCTAGACCTTAAACCCCTAAACCCTGAAC